GTGTTGGGGTGTCCTGTGCTCACACTTGATGCCAGGTCACTCTCCATGTTGGGGCTCCTATGCTCACACTTGAGGCCGGGTCACACTCCGTGTTGGGGTGTCCTGTGCTCACATTTGGGGCCAGGTCACTCTCCGTGTTGGGGTGTCCTGTGCTCACACTTGGGATCACGTCACTCTCCATGTTGGGGCTCCTGTGCTCACACTTGAGGCCGGGTCACTCTCCGTGTTGGGGTGGCCTGCACTCACACTTTAGGCCAGGTCACTCTCCGTGTTGGGGTGTCCTGTGATCACACTTGGGGCCAGGTCATTAGTGTATTGGGGCGCCCTGTGCACTGTGGGTGTTAGCAGCTTCCCTGCCCGGCCTCCACCACTTGAGGTTGTAGCACCCCACCTGACCATCATTCCAGCCAGTCACCGCAGGAACAGCCTTCCTGGAACCCAGGACAATCCAATCTCACACCATCCCCCCCGGAAGGCATCTTGCTTTGGAATTGACGTGGATGGTGCAGCCAGAGTCCCCAGGCTGCACCCCACACACTAGGACCGCAGAAGGTGGTCTGTACCCTGGAGCGATGGCCGCTTTTGGCCTGGGCGTCCCTAAAAGTTGGGAACCCTGCACTTGCTCACGGCACAAGGGGCAAGACCTGCCCCGTGTGATGGCTCTCAGGGCCACGCGCTCCTTCTTGGTCTCTGCCCATGGAACTTTCCGGAGACCAACAGTGCCCCCCACACAGGGCCCTGCAAAGCTGTATGCTGGCCTCAAAAGAAAAAAGGAAGGAGAATCCAAAGAGAACTCACATCTTCACATGCACACACACACACCCTGGCCGCCGAGAGACTCCTAGAACCTCACCTGAGGCATCCAGATCATCACAGCCACCTGGGAGCAGAGGCCGCAGTGGAGGGGCCGCTTCATGGGACGCCCCCCCCACCCCAGGCACCTGGCTCGCCCACATGCACAGCCCGTCTCCTGGCACGTTGGTGCCTCCACTCCACACCTGCGGAGTCCATACTAACACCCACCCACAAAATGCCTCTGGAACCCAGGACCAGCCCCATGATCAGGACACCACAGCTTCACACCCTTCTGGACATTCTGGATGGGCCTCGGCTCCTCCCCAAAACTCTGTGTCTCAGGGGCGGCAGCCAACACCAAAAACAGTCGGCTGGTTTGTGTGTCAGAAAAAATGCTGGAGCACTCTGAACGGTAACAGCATCCACTTCAAAGTAGTCATAACTAGTCCACGGAAGAGGAGCACAGCAGGGAGCGAGGACCGTGACCTGCCACAGCTCTCTGCTCTGACCTGTGCCATTGCCGGGGGACGCTCATTCACCCTCTGCAAACACACTTCCTGGGAGACCAACGTTGTTTTGCCAAGCCCAAAACACCCAAAACACTAACGGGACACCCCGCGTCCAACACCCACTACACCACATAGCTGTCCCCCAGCAGGCCCCATCTGCTGGCACCACGGTCCCTATCGGCACCCGCGGGGCAGACCAAGTCTGAAGCACAGACGCAAGGGGCATTTTCACAGAGCTGTGCTGAGGAGGGGGCCGGAGGGAACCAGAGAAGACTGGCCAATGGGAAATACCGCTGCTACAGGACCGGTGAGGCTGGGGACCCCGACCTGGCCCGCCCTTCCCATCCCAGGAGACGCCACTCACCCGAGAGAGCATGCAGGTCCGACCCTGTGCGCCTGCTGGTCAGCTCATACTGGAAGCCCGTGGTCCTCCTGCTGATGTCCTGTTGGGGTGTCGCCTCCACGAACAGGCCGCCCTGCTGGAAGCCGAAGCACCGCACCTGGCGGAGCCCGTGGTCCCCATCCCGCACGAGCAGTGTCAGTTCTCCAGTTTTTTCCAAATAAATATTGGCCCCTGAGGAGTCCCTGAGGGGCTTGATGCACAGAGTCAGGTGTCGGGAGGCCGAGAAGGTGTTGGGCCGCAGGTTGATGATGAGAGCCCCGGTCGGGTACATCCACTCGACAGCGCCTGAGGAGCAGCGCAGGTACACCTGCTCCACCTCCTTCCTGTGGGCCTCGTGCGTCAGCCCGCTGTGGAGGGAGGGAGAGCACCGTCAGCAAGGCCTCGTCATTCCACGCGCACCTGCCTGGGAGACGCCCGCTCACGTGCTGGCCCTCTGCCCCGCTCCCAGCAGCCCCGCACCCAGAGGCAGGCCGGCACCATCTCTGCCCCGCAGGGCAGGGCCCATTTCCAGGGAGGGCAGCCGCACAGCCTCCCTCACCCACATCCCTCCATGCGCCTGCTCCGTGCGCCTCCAAGGGGAGGCGGGGCTGGTGCTCTGATACGTGCGTGTGGCACTTGGCTCCCAGACCCTCTCGACACCTCGACGCTCAGCGTCTGCTGGCCTTCAAGTCTGCAGCATAGGGTGCCCATGTCCTTTCACTGAAGTGGGGAGGTGAGAACCAAGGAAGGGATGGGTCTTCCCAAATATAATCAAGGAAACACCAGCAGGACTTTGGCACCAATCCAAGTTCCAGATGACCAGATGAGTGCAGGGCAACAATGGCAGATTCCCACTGAGTGTGAAAAACAGGGAGCAGATTTAAACTGCAGGAGGTGCTGTGGGATGCAGTGCACGTCTAATAAATAACTCACTCGAGAGAGCAGCTAAAGCAATTAGGAACGCTGGCAACCGGGGCTGGTGGTTGTTGGTGAGTTCATCTTGGAGTACCTCCCCATCAGGCGCAAGTGTCCATACTTTCCCCACAGTGATGGATTCCCTGCTCTTCACTCATTTGCAAACCTGAAGACTCTGCATCGCCAACCATATTTTCAAAAATAAACTAGAATATCATCAAAGCAAGATACAAAAGTAAGGTGAGGTCCTCCACAGGGAGGCACAGAGGCGACGTGTGGAGACACCAAAGGGAGGAGACGCCCTGTCCTGCCAGCAGGACTTTCTAGAGTCCTAGTTAATTCCACTCCTAACAGATGCTAAATCGGAAAAAATGAGGTGTGCTGCGCTCAGTGAGACAGGTCTTGAGTAAAGTCATTAAGTTATGTTTTCAAGAAATTGAAACCATCAAAAACGTTCAAGTTTCCCCTACTCAAAATTTTAATGTAAATGTCAGCTTGTGCTAACTGCTACGTCATAAGCACCGAGCGGCCTTGGAGCTCAACCAGTGACTTCAACTTCGGGTTTTATTACATGAAATTTGGTTCTGATCAGATCTCAGACAGGTTCACCCACATTCTTAGGATTTTTACGTGGAATAAACAATGCTATATTCAGACCCCTGGCCTGAGTGAGTTACCAGAAACCCTCTCTGCAGAGGAGAAAACACATAACATATGGTTTGCATTTACTGTTGGTGACTCACGCTCCAAGCCCTGAAAAACCTCACTTTTCATACGACGGCCAGCTGCAGGCTGGGGCTGCACAGTCATCCTGCAGACCACATCAGAGGGAGGTGTCAAGGAGGTGAACCCCTCCTAACCCCACTCCCCACCCCCACAAAGCCCTGGGTCATGAGCAGCTAGCGCGGCCTCAGACGCCTACCAGGGCGGCATATGCAGAACAGACTTACAAATTACAGTCAAATAAAACTCATAAAAGCTCATCTGACACATTTGTGGGGACGGGCATAATTATAGGGCTGTGTGAAAAAATTAGACTAAATGGTGAGTGGTTGCCACAAATGACTATAATCAGCTCTGCTCTCACACCGCCAAAACAAACTTTATCACAGTGTCCCTCCTCTCCTGTCTCCAGCCTCAAGAGGCAGTTGGACACTTGCCCCATGCCTAGGCACCAATCCTCAACTCTCTCTCCCACAAAAACCATCCTGTCCAAGGCTTCACTTCCCTTTCAGTGGTGGGTAGGGGGCCTGGGGATCGGGGGAGTGGAGAACCCACACCAGATGCTTTGGATTCCTCTCACTAAGTCACTTTAATCCAAGCAGTGGAGGGGGAAATAGGGAGGCCCACCTTCCACCCACTTCTCAGGCAGACAGGTGGCCAACCCACGGCAGGCCTAAGTCTGGGGGCTGCCACCCCCCAGCCTGTACATACAACCATGTGCAGCTTGTGGGGTGCACCTGGCTCCAATTATTCATAAGTCACTCAACTAAAAGAGGACCAGGAACTAAATGAAGGTGGACGTAAGAAATAAGGCAACCCATTACTTCACCCTTTGACTAATGTCTTCACGGGCCCACAGAGAAGGGTCTATGCCCATCCCCAGGGCCTACTGCCGGCCGGTGGCTCTGCCCACCTCTTCTCTCACATTCTCCCAAAACATCAAGATCAACAAGAACCCTACTAGGCACTCACAATAGGGTGCTCACCTTCACGTCAGCAGTGTGTGACAGGCAAGAGCCCCGTTTAGACAAACATCGACTCAGTCCAGCAGAACCACCGGCCCTCAGCCTGGGACCTGCTGGCCTTTGAGGGAAGTCAAGGACTCGTGGTCTATGTGGTTCCTACCAGAAAATCGAGACCAACCTCTCACCTCTAAGTTTCCAGCACCACAGCAACCCTGAAAAAACTTCTATTTATGCACAACGCTGAGGTGCAAAAACGTACCACATCTGTAATGGTTGTCCACGACAGTATTTTACGGTCTTCACATGACACGCAAGTGACATACTAACCAGGCAAAAATAACATAACTGCTTTCTGATGTTGTGAGGAAGCTAAAAGACGCAGGAAAAAAACAAGTTCTACTCAATCTTACGAAACTGAGACGACTGACTTGATCTTGGATTAAACTGAATTAACACGTTTTTCAAAAAAAAAGAGTCGGCAAGTGGCACCCCCAGTGGACACACCTGTGGAGCACCGTCATGGGAAAGACAGCAAATTTCAAGTGGAGACAGGGACTTTCTGAAGTGGTCAGTGTGGTGGCAGCAGAGCCCACTGAACTCACACCCACAGCCCAGCTCAAACCCTGCCACCCCAGAAGGAAGCTACAGCCTCCGTACTGAAGTCGGAAAGAGCCTGGATGGAGGGCGAAACCAGAGGGCTCTGCTGACGGACTCACCTTTCATTTCCCACCTCGCAGGAGAGAGAGCCCTGCCTATAACACTGGGAAAGTCCATGGTCCACCTTTATGACTGCTGCCTAATAAAGATCAGGGCGCTGTCCTGCCCCATGCAAGGGAGAGGGATTTCAAAACCTCCCACTTAATTGCTTGGAAACACCCAGAAACACATTTCAGCCTGTCAAATATGAGTGGCCAGTGTCATAAAGAGCAACTCCCTTCCTATCAGGGGATCAGAATCCACCTGGCATATCAGGGCTCACACCACCCTGTACTGTCTAGAACAGCTCATAAAAAGTCATAAATGCTATGGAGTCAGCACGCAAACCAGCACACCCAGGTTTCGACAGCAAGCTTCTGTCAGCTGATTGTGAAGCATACTGGTGACTGGGGGCAGCAATTATGAGGCAAGGGGGTCTTATGCTGCAGGAATGTGGCCTGGCCCTGTCTCCTCCCCAGATCCCGCCCGCAGCTCCAATGGCCCCTGCAGCCACCCTCTGCCGGACTCTGCCTTTGGGATGAGTGGAGGATAGCTGGAGAGAGTCCAAGACCAGAGGTACATTAGCAATGATGAAGAGAGAGGGGCTGCAGGTAAGCATCTCTGCTTCTCCAGGTAGATAACAGGATGCACAGGAACAGGAAGGGCACTCCCGTTCTCCTCCCACTGCAAATACCTGCTTGCTCCAAGAGCTAGTGGCCCCCTGACCAGCCCTCACTCACAGCCCCCTCTGGGCTCCAGGGGAGGCATCCCCTTCCAGGCATACAGTCCTCTGAGAACCCGAAAACGGTATCACTTCCTCCTCTGGAAACTCAGGCTCATGGGGTGGGACCCAGATCTCTATCTGCTAAAGCAGGACACTCCAAGACCTCAGTTTGGGGGTGCACTGATTCATCCAGCAGAGGCTGCAAAACAGGGAGTTTAATTACTAGCGGGGGTGGGGGGGGTGGGGGGGGGTGTCGGGGAAGGGCAGCCCCAGCAGAGTGTGTCAGAGTCACAGGCTCCCAGCCAGCTCTGTGCTGGCGCCAGCATTCTCCAGGCCAACCCTCCCCCAGCTCGGTTCCTCAGCTCCTCCATCCTCGCTCTTCTGTGAGCAGGAAGCATTTCTGCTGGAGGGAGGGAGGACACCACGAACCCAACCTGAGGAGCCCAGGATCTTAGCTCTGGGAGGGGAGCAGGGGGGAAGGGAGCAGGATAATTGCCACTGTCCACAGAGAATTGGACCTGTAAGTATCCAAGATGACCATAGGCTGCCCTGCTGACGCAGAGCCCAACGCACTGGCACAACCCCGACCTTCTCGGAAAACAGTCTTCACTCAAAATAACCCCGTGACACCCCCAGCATGAGGTGTCTGCCAGCAGGAGTCTTCCCATTAGACATCACAACCTGAGGGGTTTGGGGGACGCTGCTCCATGAGACACACCGACACCTGGACCCAGGGCGGCCCCAGCCCACTGCGTTTCCGGAGAAGGAGATGCGCATCTCCCTCTGAAAACTCCTGAATCGGCAACTTCCGAGACACAAAACTGGCTTCTCCAACTGCGAGCTGCCAGCGCGGGGCCAGGGCGCCCTCGGCGGACGGCGGTTTCTCATCCTGAGTAGCTGGGCCCTCAGGCACCCCGCCCGCGCACACTTGCGACTTGCACTCTTTCTGCTTGTCACACTTCAGTTAAAAAAAGTGCTCGCTGCCACGGCGGAGGAGCGTGCAGGGGGGTCGCCGAGCCCAGCGCGCGCGGCCAAGGGCGGCCTGACCTTCACGGGGCGGGGGCGGGGGCTCGGCCAGGCCCGCACGCGGCCCTGAGCACAGGTGCCTGCCCACGCGTCTCCCCCTCCACGGACGCGGTCAGAGCTGCGGTCAGCGCGAGGGTCCCCCTCCGTCCACCCAGGTCGCCGCTCCCTCCTGCGGGCCCTTGGAGCTCGGCCGTGAGCGCAGGCCTGGCTCCTCCCGGCCGGAGGCGCTCAATCGGAGGACCGAACCCCGCCCGCCTCCGGTGCGGGGTCGCGGGGCTGGGGGCCGCGGCGCCCGGGGACCCGAACGGGGACGGGCGCGGGGCTAGTGGGCGGCCCGGACAGACTGACCCCGCCGCACTGCAGGCGCGCCTCCCCCTGGGCGTCCTCCCGACCAGGGCACCGGGACGCCGCGGGCTCTTTTGTTCTAGAACCGGGGCGGGGGCGGGGGCGGCGGCGGCACTCGGCCTGGAGCCCGGGGAGGGAAAGGAGCCGAGGGGACCCGGGGCCGATCGCGCCGCGTGGACTCACCTCCCCTTCCAGCTGCACAGGTCGCTCGAGTACTGCGCGCCCGCGCCGCCCAGCAGCACGGCCAGCAGCACGGCCAGCAGCGGGGGGCCAGGGCCCGGGGCGGGGGTCCG